AGTTGTCCATAATGTTTTTTGCAAACATAGAAAACCCATAATCTAATTAAATTTGGTTGTCGAAACCTGTCAACCTCGTTTAGGGTCAGTTTTGCTTTATTTTTACAATCCCTGGGATTATGAATGTCTGCACATTTCGTTTCTAAATTGTCTTGGACAAAAACACACTCAAACGCTACTTCAATGGTATCTTTAACGTTTAGCACATCCTATTAAAAACATTTACATTTTCGAAAAATTATTACTTTTCAGCAGTAAAATCAGTCGCTGCAGCATGTCAACAACAAGAAAATTTGATCAATCATAATGGGAGAGTACTTGTGAACCAAAAGACGTCCACAATATTCGTTGTCTGAGATTTCTCGTCCTTTGACACACAAATATGTCGCATTTGAATTTCTAGTAAAACTCATCATCCGCTTATTTTTTCATGCTTCAGGTGCGGTCAGCAACTATTCTTCCTGTTCACAAGTCGCTATGCCACCCGTTCAACAGGTTAGTGAACGTCGCCGTGATCGTCATCGGTCTTTTAGCACTCCAGAAGGTTGCGTCACAGTGCTTAAAGATACCGACCGAACCCCACCGAGCGTGACTGGCAGTACGCATCCAGACTGTGCTACGATTCAATCCAATGCAGCACCTGCACGAATGCTTTCACAATCAGTGAACGATTCGTGTCGTTCCGTTGAACCTACCTCCATAGGGAGTAGCAGCAGCAGCGGCAACAACAGTGTGGTCTTGACAACATTGAGTTCTTCTCTGGGTCAATACCAATACCCGCGAACTGCACAAAAATCCGCCAATCCAGTCACCTGGAGTGTTTCTGTCAGCAGTTCGACATCTGGTGTGCGTAGCGACTGTTGTTTGTCCGAACCTGTCACCAGTACGAACACTGTGTCGACCGATGGGCCTGGTTGCACACAAGAATCGGACTCTCATCGTCTGCCACATCCGATTCGACGAGTTCATCATCACCATTTCTGGCACCATTCAAGCTGTCCCCATCACCGGATTCATCAAATTGTTTTGGAAAACTTCTCAATCGATGCAGGTTGCCCCGTTGCCTCGGTAAGTTGGTCATGCTCGAGGATACAGAAGGAATAGTGGCGTTCAGATCATGGTTTATCGTCGGGGTACGAACAAGTGAGCGATAGCATTAACTTCGTTTAGTGCTTCCACCAAAACTGTCAAATGATGTCAGTGACTGGTAACCCACTTGGATGGTCTATAATGTTCGCAGATACTTGCATAAGTGCAACCTGTTACACCTGTCATAGTGATTCTCGAACTGGCCTTAGTACCGGAACTTGTAGCGTCCTATTTCAGTATATAGGTATACGGCTCTGCTCGTTTGAACGGGATGTTCTCTTTTAGTTGTTTCATTGATGAAATAGTTATGAATCGGGACTATGTGTTCCTCCGTGTGCTCGAGTACACTCAATTAGGGTTTCGTCGACTGGAAAGCTCTGATGTATGTTCAAATTACTCGTACACACGTTTTACGTGACCAAACCAATTTTCCTTCGCCTAACTGCCCATTGATTTCACAGCTGAAACTCGAACAGTTGTGCAATGAAGCTTGAATGAATAGCAAACTGATGTGTTGTGTGAAAGATTCTTCCCCCCTTAATCCATTTCATCAAACGAGGAAGACAACTGGACAAAATCTATATGGTTCATCATTTTTGAGGGTTGCAAACACGCATTTTTACAATCCGGTCGTAGAAAGAATTTTTAATTTGAGATGACTTCTCGCACGATGATGGACGTATATTATTTGTTCGCTTTTGCTTCCTGGGTAGAGCTGACCCAGATAGCAAATTTAGATAACAAACCACTCCGTCTGGTTTAGCTGATGCTGGTATTGAACGACGGTTAGGGGTGTACGTTGTTAACTGGCCTGTGAGAATAAATCAGAATCATGAACGAATTCATAAAGAATCTTTGAAATAGGGTGCATGATGACAGTCACAACGCTTTTCGGCCTCTTATTCCAGATTGCTCTCGTAACTTTTGTATGGCTTCGTGCGACCCGTAGTGCAATCACGTTACTTGGCAAAGGGCACGTTCACGCACCTCGCAATGAGTTCTACGAACATTTGGGGCATAGAGATCAATTACCAGGGGGAAAGACGCTGGGTCGTCATTTATTGCCACTGATATTCAGCAACCACTTATTTAGCCAAGTAATACCCATCCATTCATGGTTATCTGTGACCTGGAGAAGCGTCGCGCGTTGGTCGTGTTGGTACACATACAGAAGGCTCTATTGACATTTGCCAATTCGAGACATTTCCGGCACCATCGCGACATCCGGCTTTCCGTGAAGAATTGTTTGTTGCGGTAGTTCGACCAGTTCTGCTATACTGTTCAAACATCGGCGTCTACACCGCCTTGCACGAGTTTACGGGGAAACCGGACAGGCAATGGCAATGTTAGGGGCGGAGGTTTAGGTAACCGCAGTCGCCCACTGGAGGAAGTGGTCGACCTCCATTGATAACGTTGTTTGCGGCATGTGCTGCTCTTGTCACCAAATAGATCGTC